CCTCCATACCTGTTGTGTTAATGAAAACCATATCAGTGGTGTGTTGTAAAGTAGCATTATCTTGCTCTGTCAAATATTTAAGCGGCATATTTAATATAGAGAGGTGGCTATAAATGAGGTAATGACGCCATCATGTCGACCTGAAAATCAGCTGCAAGGACAAACACCTGCAAGCTTGCTTTTGAAAAGATGAACAATACAAGTCTCATTCTGCTATATTTAAAGTAAATGAGTCTTATAACCTATGAAGGAGGCTCCGATCACAACAGTTTTCTGGCCCAGACAGGAGTTGTGAATCTCTTTGGCATCTTCATAACTCTGCAGTAACTTTACTCCCTTCAGGTCCCAGCCAGGACAGCTGAGCGGCCGCGCTCTGCAATCAAAACAAACTATCGCTGCACGTTGCTGTTGTTATATGGGCACATTAAAATGCAACATTAATAGATCTTTTCATGAATGTTTAGCCAATTAGCTTTTTGTTTCTGAAAAACTTGAGGAACAGGATGATGACTCTGACCTACAGCCCGTTGAGATGAGAAGCTGGTCGTAATGCTGCAAAGAGCCATCGCTCAACTTCACCGCCTTATCAGCTGGGTGTACCGACAGCACCTGCAGCACAAAACACGTGTCTTAACGTGACCAAAGAGAGGATGGGGTTCTCCAAATATGGTGAGAATAATACATCCCAAATAGATTTTTTCGCTTCTCACCTCCTTCTGTGTCCACACCTCAATCCCATGCTGTTGATAAAAGTCACTTGGCCGCAGGAGGAGGCTGCTGCTGTCCAGATTCATAATCTGAGAGAGGAAATGCCATTTACTAAAGACAATCATCTAAAAACAAAGTTGCTGACAAACACTGACAGAAAAATCTATGTATATGTAATCTATGTGATCCAAATACACATGGATACAGGATCCCCCTCCCCGTTCTCACCTTACTCAGCTTGGGCTTGTCAAATGGAGGCAGATTGTCTTTGGTGACCATGACGATTCGACCTTGGTAGCAGTTCTGCCGCAGCGTTTCAGCACAAACCAGGGAGGCAGGGCCTAAAAACACAAAGGTTCATTTTCAGTGTGTCAGTTTTTCATTCAGAGATGTAGCTTAAAGAAACATGGCAGCACAAGACCACCAAATTCATTGCACTGTTAGTCTCATCTTTCAATCCTACTAGCAGGGAGTTGTATGGAAAAAAGTAAAAATTCTCTGATTTCAGATTCTTAAATGTGATATTTTAATAATCCTAATTTACATTACCCCCTCCTATCAGCAGGATAGTGTGTTTGACGTCTGGTACCATGCTGCACATCTCCTTCACCCGCTTCGTCAACTTCAGAGACTGAGGGGAAACAAACAAACAAGGGACAGTTTAAAATAGTGTATTTTTAACACAAAATGAAGGGGAACATTTGTGATAACTTTTATCTATTTAATTTAACCATCACTTACATTTTTGTTGATGGTAACATACACCTTGCCCTCCTCAACTTTTACCTGTAAAGTGTTTTTAAAAAGAGAGAAGTTTAGGTACAGTATGTCATCCCTATGAAAAAAAAGCAGTACATTGCAAATAAATGTTGATGTCAACCGACATGTTTTACCTTATAACTAGGCAGACAGTCCAGACCTGGATACTCTTCAATGTCTCCAGTTCTGACATTAAAGCAAGCACCATGAAAGGGACATCTCACTCTGTCACCAACCAGTGCTCCTGGATTATCAGCGCACATGCAATTAACACTACTCAAACGCGAAGCAAAAACATATATTATAAAAATATTGTTATATAGAGAATGAGAAACTGAAAATTGAGGAAGGTTTACCTTTAACAAGAGGAGCATTATAATGAGAGCACTGGCTTCCAACAGCACTGTACTGACCCTGGGCGCAGACAAGCAACACCTTCTGATCACCGACAGTTACTTCCTTCATCCTTTATAAAACACAAGAGAGAAATTGTGAAGAAAAAGCTCACAAATGTAGGTGACTTCAGCATCACCTTCACTGGCAGCGGTGGCTTTAACTAAAAATATGATCTTTTTCCAGCAAAAAAAAAAGCATTGTGTCTTACTGTCCATCTTTCAGGTCGGCCTCTTCACATACCATCCCAGTCACCTCCTCCTGCACCTCACCTTCTTGGCACTGAATCATTCCTGCAAAACATCAGTCACATTAAGAAAACATGACCATTGTTAGGCAGCCAGTCTTGAATTACAGCTGGCTTTATGTGATGGTATGGTTTCTTCACATTGTACAATATGTATTCACGTGTTGAGCCTGTTTGCTTTATATGTGCTTATTCAAATGAATGTTTTTGTTCTGGGAGTGTTCTTGTTCATTTAAAAAGCCAGTTGCAACTCTCGCCTACTTCTTAAACAGCCTTGAAGTACATAAGACAAATAAGACGAAAAAAGAAATTACAAATAAAAGGCTTCACTCTCCATTGTCGGCCTACAATGAAACGTAAACGATTCCTTTTGGCTTCAGTAGACAGAACAGAAATCCTTTGGTGTGAAGCTGACAGAATAAATGAGATAATGTGAAAGGCTTTTTAATAACAACAACAAAAATACCATTCACATTTAACACAGGCGTCTTTCTAAATGTCATTTAGCTGTATTAATTAGGCTAGTCAAACGTCAAAGCTGCGCGTGGCTCACCTGTATTCTTCCAGCTAACAGCAGTGAGAAACGATGCATGTGTGGTAACAGACTGATCCTCGATCGGCAGTGTTTTCCGTAGACTAACACAGATGCGGGTGGTTCATGAACGAGCACAGGCATGGAACTGCCCGCGTGACAGAGAGTAGGAGTCCCGTGCTCCCCGCGAGCCAACCGTAGCCGAGGAGAGATGGGAGATTACGGCCACATCGGTGACACATGCTCCAGGGTAGAGATTAGCTATGGACCACACAGTAGTATGCGACGGACAGAGCATAGCAGTCCGTCGCATACTACTTCGACAAGATTATAGTCGAAGCTAACTAACACAAACCACTATGTGGGTGTTTTAGCAGAGTAATTTCAGGAAGTTAAAATGAAGTTAAATGTAAGTAACTTTTCATGAATCAAATGTTTAAAACACGATTAAAAAGTCAGATGTTTGTAAAGAGCGGCTGCAAGCAGTGTGTTTTTGACCCTTATCTTACAGTCAAACTAGGAGTTAAACTGTTGTAAACATATGTCTTATGTCTCTGTTTTTGTTGTGGTTGTCAATTTATTTGTTTCCTCTCTATGTTTCTCGCGCAGTAATAATAATGGCCCCAAAAAGTCTCTATTGTGTATTTATCTACAACAATAGACTGTATGCCTACAACACACCCATTCACCCCGTTTTACCTGCTGACCTTTCTTATATACAGTCTATGCTGCTGACCAGTGACAGGAAAATACTGATGGGAGCTGAGGTTGATTTTTGTTGTCCTCAAACGGATGGTGGCGCTGTATCACCAAAAATTCATTCATGTCCAGGGCAGGGCTCATAGCTTGAATGAGGGAAGCGCTGTTTTTTGTTTTGTTTTTCTCTTCCACTGTATGAAACAAGAGTGAAAAGTAAAATATGAAAAGTGCTTCAAGATCCAGGTATAATATTAAACAACACCAGAGTATAATACAATGTCGTGCCTTATGAAAGCACCACGCCATGTGTTACATATTCTCTGTTTACTTGCTGAAATAAACTACTATTCCCATAAATCCACGGAGGTTTGTGAACCAATGAGGTGGGTTTGACGCAATGTTGCCTTCAAGTGCTCTTCGTAATTAGCAGGCCTCTTGGTCAGATAGTACCTTTTTTTCGTGAATTGAAGAGTGTGGGCAAGAAATAATATACTTAATAAACAAATCCTACGCTGGTGGCTGTTGTTTTCAAATAGATCAAAGCCAACCAGCTTTAAAACAAGGAGTCATTCTAATTATTCTGTTCATCTGTCGAAGTGCTGCTTGCTTCTGACTCCAAAAACAAAGTCAGTCTCCAGTCACCATAATTCAGAATATTAGCAGACATAATTTAATTTCTTCTACTGTGAATATTTGGATTTTCTGGGTCTAAACACCTGGCAAAAATTAGGCCATGAACTCATGTTCATATCATCAAAAGAGGAAATACTAAAATTTCCTTTTTCCCCCAGTGTGGGATCAACTTTATTGATCCCACACTGGGGAAATCCCCCTGTTACAGTAGCTCCAGATACACTACTATGGCTATCTTTTTGGACGCTAGTGCCCATACGGTACATAAATTTCACTACCAATATAACAGTACTTTTATCACTACCATACTTTGAGAAATATAAACATGTTTTTCTACAAAGCTCCTCTTCCCTTCACCAAATAGGCCAAAGTTCTCATGTTGTCTAAATACAAGCAGCAATACATGAACCTTGCCTAAATAAGATTAAATCTATTTCTCTTTAATCTATCGATTTTGAAGATTTTGATTTTAATTTAGGAATGATCTGCTCAAAGATTAAAATTACAAGATAACAAATCTGACCAGACATTCAGTGATGGCTGTTTTCAATACTCAGTGTATCAATCAAACATTTTTTTTGTCTTTGCGTTTGCACACTTGTTGATGTCAATGTGGATATCATATAGTCTACCGCCACTTCCTGTGTCTAACAAAGCAGCATAGAGCAGCTCACAACTGGAAAAAAATTATCTTGGACTGTGGTGAGATAGCACTGAGAAGATTTATGAAAACAAAAACAAAAGCAAAACAAATCATTAGAAAAAACATTTCTTTCTCCTTGTCAAGTTTAAGTGACAGTAGATTTTAACTGATAACTACCAGCACACGTCTTGTATAATTTCTTGTTAATGTAAAACTCTCAAGATTTTACATATTGTTAATATTTGTTTATGTTACAGTATACTATTTGGTATTGGTATCGAGACATTTCCTACCACACTTGAACGTAACACTTCACATGAAACGTGCTCTTGGCCGCGCCCCTTCATAGTAGGGCGGAGAAAAGCTGTTATTTGGCTTCTGTTGATGTCAAAAAGTTACACAAGCCCGGGATGAGGTTGTACAACAGGACGGTTTTACAACCTTAAACGAGGCTGCACGCCCACAGTCACTTGTACCGGTCACACCTGAGCTTTCATAAGAGGTCTTATTACAGATACAGATATTCAACCTATTGGGTGAATCATTTGACAGACTCGTCCACGCCGTCTCGCCTTCTGGACTAAAACCGTAAAAGAAACGCGCTTTTTTTCGTTTTTCACTAGCGTCTTTGAGTGACCATACACTATTGGGAATATACCAGTATGTTAATGTGATTGTCTCGTCGTCGCAACAACAAAAAACAAGCAACCCTCAGCTGTATGACTGTCGCAGGCTCCGCTGCTTTTATACCGCTCACATTGGGGACAATTGTAGCCTGAGAAGTGTTGATCTCCCAAACAAACCTTTCAGCCATGGAGTTGAGTTCGGTGATTTTAACGACCGGGGGCTCCTTCGGATTTTTTAGACTAGTCAACGCTGGAGCAGGAAAGCTCCCTATGCCTGAATCTGCGCGCAGGAACGCATGGAAATGGAGAAATATCTGTGTATCCTTCGTGCACAGTTTCATCACTGCGATATGGGCAGTGCTTTGGTGAGTAAAAACTGCTTTTATTCCATTTCTAATGCAGGATCTGATCGAAAAAAGATTGGTTTAGATGTAGGCCATTACCTTACGAGGATGGTTTCATAAATGCATTCTACTGGCTTTTGGCGCGGTTGTATTCAAAATGTACTTTAAATAACGTTACATACTTCATTTTGCTTTGACTTCATAGTACCTTGAATTTTGCCATAGCCTACGGCTTGGCCAGATCCTCCACCTGTCGCAGTTATTGCTTTGGGAATAGATTTAAAGATAAGATGCAACAGTTAAGACGCCTAGCCTAACGTTACTGTGTGACTGCACTGATAATTATCTCCATAAAAATAAATACTATTAAAACAGACTGGATTAATTGTACAGATATCACACTCAAATACAGTTCCACAAACTAATTATTCCCAACTAAATGCTTCATCTGAGCTTTTTTAACATTTGTCTTTTCAGCTTCTACCGTCACCCACAGATGGCTGAAGATTTGATAGAAACTCACTCTGAGTTTTCTCATGCTTTGGTGTCGTTTTCCATCGGTGAGTGGTCTGCCCGCACTTACACTTCCTGAATGGGCTGGGGGTGGAGGGACGGCTAGAGGAGGAGTGCACCCATAAGTGCTGCCACCATAAGGGAAAGTGAGGAAGTGACATTATCCATCCCAGCTACTGTCAATTTCCTACATGGTGTCAGGGTAATTTTAGGTCAAAGACTTCATGTAGTTCATGTAAAACAATTGTTATAACCAACTAATACAAGTCTAACTTGAAAAGTGCTTCTTGGTTAATCAGTTGGATAAGAAACTTTTTAAATAATGCCAATAAGTTTCTCACTGAGCTTAAATAGTGTTTAGCTATGTAAAGCCAATATATATTGTCCATAAGAACGGGGTAGACATGGTAAACTGAGCATTTGCAAATGCACAAATAATCTGTTGACATGTTGATGAATGCTGAATATTTACCATATAGTAGTTTTATGGTAAATATAAGGGTTTACCCAGGGTCAAGATATTTCAAATTTAAACCTTCTTGCTGTCTTATTTATGAATGAATGGACATTACAGCTACAGGGGTGATTTTTAGGTGTGTACTCTCCCTCTAATTTGACTCATTTACACTTTCTTGACTGAAGCTCACTTGTCCTATATGTTTTTGTTGTTTTTTTGCTGCTGAATTGCTACTTGGAATCCACTATGTGGGCTACAGTGAATGTTACCATCTACTAAACCAAATTAGAAACTCAATTTCATTAAGATTTCTCAAACCTAAGGGTTCATGCTTCTCCACATTCTTAAAATAGAATTGTAGCCCGTTTTTACTTTTTTCCATTAATCCTTAAAGTATCCTGGAGAAGCTAGTGACACGCGAGCCCTCCTTAATTCCACATATGTGTTGGATCTGCGCCGGGTAAATACAGCTCCCCGAGGATTCCCAGGATGTTTGACATTCTTTCAGGAAGTCTAGCCCTGGAAGCTGGAAAGGCAAGAAGCAATGTCAGTATGTGAAGATCAATGGGGGGCATTATTATCAGTTCCAGGCACGGTGCGAGACCCCGTACACTCATGTGACATCACCGAGACATCAACTGTGCAAAAAGTCAGTTGATTTATGCGAGCCGTCCATATCAGATGCCAGTGGTAACAGAAAGGGGAGTCATGCATCCACGCAAAAGCAAGTCGAGTGCTTCTCCCGAACCCTCCCACCAGAAATGTGGTGTGATTCTGAGGCTTCAGCAAGTTAAACGCGGAGTTTTGTGCACCACATTTGTGCATTCAGTCCACTATACCACGCTGCAAAACCTCGTAGCGACATGCCATAAATGATTCTCCACTTGTTGAATGAAGACCTTGTCCAGTGCTCAGAGCAAGATCTTGCAGAGGCACTGTGTAATACTGTTTTCATACGCCTAACACTTAACACTGCAGTTCATTCTCTGTGTTGCTATGAATAACCAATTTAAAGAAGAATTCTCTCTACCTGTGGTGAAGGATTGCAACATTTTGTTGATATAGTGTAAAGAAGTACCCATAAAGTTTACACAGATAAACAAAAAGCAACAGATGATGTTTACTTGCCGCAGTAACTTGGCAGGTATCAGATTAGGCCAGGTGTCTTATATTTAACTGGGTAATTCCATTCAGACCTGATGCTGGTATGTGTCAGCCTGAAAAGCCGGTTGTTTGACAAACTGGTTTAAGAAAGGACTCTGACCTTCATGTAAACATGCCGGTAATCTCATTGCACATCTTGAATGGAAAATGCTGATTTGATGGATTTCATTTTATCTACCTGTTTTTGTTGGTAGCCAAAGAAAAGTCAAATGGTGTTTGATTCTTTTGTTCCCAGTAGAGACATCAGCTGTACAGAGCACTTGCGACACATTGATATCATGCCCGTATTGCAGAACATAAAGGGAAATACTCCATCATCTTACATTTAATTTCTCTTTGTCACTCAGTCGTCCTTAGTTCCACCTGTATGTGTCAGACAGTACTGAATGATTCATTAGAAAAACACATGGCAAGATAAGAGATGTCAGTTAATTGGCACTTTTACTTAACAAGTGACGCAATCCATTTATGGCAAAACTTGACCGGAACTTTTTTGCTCACATGAAACAGAATGAATTGTGACGGAGACCAGATCATGCATACAAACCATTCAAATGCTCGATAGCAATCTTTTCATAATTAATTATAATGTGTCTGGTAGCAAGTATGTTTGTTTATCATGAGACACGCCCACATGTTACCACGTCAACAAAAAAGGGTCCTGGTGTCAAATTCCTAACACATTGAGGTTAATTACAGTCTCGCCAAAGCTCTGAGTTCCCTCGCAACCCAACGTCCCCATCCCCTCCACTATTTTTCCAGCTTTCTGAATAGCTGTCACCATGGATACAGCTGCTGTGTGTGTGTGTGTGTGTGTGTGTGTGTGTATGAATAGCCCCTCTCCGAGACACGTCTTGGTCGCCATCATTGTCGTCATGGAAGCAGCGCCCCCCCCCCCGACACACTTGATAGGCTCAAGGCTTTGTTGTAAAAAGAATGTGCCGTGTTTTGGTTGATTTAATGAATTCCCCAACCCAAAGATGACATTAACAGTAGTTTAATGCTGTCCATGCCCACAGGTTACTTCATCTATGACTTCTTTGACATGGTGATGAACCAGAAGTTGAGTCAGTCCTGGGAGCTTCTCTTTCATCACTTGGTGGTAGGTCTTTCAAGCATTAAAATAAGATAATTTTGTTAATGTACTCAAGGTAACTGAAATGTATCTTTTAGCAAATTCTTGCTAGCTACACATAAAGTTTGTTTGGGTTCAATGCCTTGCTCAAGGGCACTTAAGCGGAGATGGTGGGCAGTAGATGTGATATCAGTCCTCACATCTGGAATACATGAAGTCACTCCCTTCTGTTTCTGCTCAGTGGGACCTTATTTTGGAAAAATATGTACTGTAGTGTATGGTGAGTGACAACAAATTTTTTATCTATTCAGTTTAAATTGTGCCCTGAATTACACGCATGATGTTTCTCAATTTAAAAGATACGCTTGTAAGAAATGAAAGTTGCAGTTGGTTGTCTGTGAAACTGCTCAGTGAACAACATCTCTTGTCTCATACATGACGTGTCATCATGGCACGTTTTACCTCTTTCTTACAGAACGAGGGGGAAAGTATTAAAAATGATGGTGGCATTACGTTATGACAGGCGTTGGCGTCAGTAACGTTAGCTTCAGTCATTGAGGGAAAATCTTTGACATCACGCCTTCGACTTCTGGGTTTGTGGTCTTTCTAATAACACATTTTCAAAGTCTTGTACATTTTACGACAAACTGCGACAATTCAAACAGGATAGAAAAAATTGTTTTCTCTCGCCGTTGACTTATCATGCATATTTTTTCTGAAATAAGGTCTCATGGTAGTTCCCACGAAGGCAAAGGCTTTAGGCTCTCTATAGAACCTCTTGTTGGTGCCTGGTATCGAACCAGCAACCTTTGGGTTATCTGCCTTTATTACTTTCACAGTTAAAGTTAAGCTCTTGTCCAAGATTTATCTTATCTTTAAGATTTATTTTTGCCAAAGATGTTTCACCTTGACCGGTTCTGTCAGTAGAATATCTAACTTTTGAATCAGACTGCACAGACAAATCATGCACCGCATCCACAAGGCACCTGTTAGGAGCACAGACATGGGAAAGACAAAATACCCATCTTTCTTGTTTAGTTACAAAGAACAAGGGAGGGAGGAACAAAGAGACGATCATTCCAGTCTGACAGCCACCCCCCAAAACAGTCATCTTCATTACATGGTGGCCCTCAGCAGTTATTCCTGAGGGAATAACAAGTTAGATCAGTTAACCCTCCCCCATTCCTGCTTTTAAACGCTATGGGTAATAAATAGCAAAATGCCCTAAAGTGGCAATATAGAAATTCATCCTAATTGAATATTTTAACTCTGCGTTTCAGACTGTATGACCTACATCCCTGCTAAGACCCTGCAGATGTTATGTATTGCGTTCTGTGGCCAAGTTCTCATCTTGTTATTGTAGTGCAATACACCTCAAATTTGTGTTGGAAGTGTCTCTGACAGGGTTGGAGTGTATTTGTGCTGTACAGCAGCCACGATGAATGTGTGTGTGTTTGGGTGTCATTACAGGCATGTTTGATATACGAGTCATATATACTCGCACCCTGTCTTAAAAATATCACTTTAAGAGTAACATCTTGGCATTTCAAGTGGACTCTGGTAGATAATTTCTTGTACATCTATATATACAGAACAACTCCAAAATCTCAATTGGAACCCCTTTTCAGTATCTCTCCCACACAAACAGGCTGAGTGCCTTTACACCAACATTGAGGCTGACACTGGGCAAGCGTCTTTATCATCCAGCCCACGTTTCTACTGGTTTTGTTGGTCTCATCGCTGTGTGATCAGATATGGGAATTCCTTGCAACAAAAAACCCAGCATAACAACCGCCATAAAAGATGACATACAGTATTTTCAAGCAAATAATGCCAAGTTAGACAATGGTAAACATTTGTGAGAGTCACTTTTTCCATTAAGTGGTCGCTGTATAATTTCACCGACTGCAGCAAGTAAACATGTAGAGGATCTTTTAGGTAAAGGTAAATGGTAAAGCTTTGTACCATTTTTGTCAATAAAAATTGGCCCCCTTGACGGACAACCAAATGATGGTTTTGTTGTGAATGTTGGTCAAATATCACTGTCTCCACTACTCATGATGGTTCCTATTGTCTAGGAATTAACCCAGGTTTGTGAATGTAGTAGCCTCTGACATCAGGGGTCTTTTGTTTCTAAACGAGGTTAAAGAAACACCTGAGTCAATATTTGCCAGGTGAGAACCAGTGTTTCTGTGGTATAACGTCCTTCAGGATTAGTTGTGGGAACCAGCTCCAATACCACCTGGTTGTTGGTGGCAAAGGCCCAACAGAGTTTGAAGAAAATAGTTGTATTGGCCTTTCTTTCTGAAAGTCTTGTTTTTTTTTTCCTTTACTTCCTGGAAGCCTAGTGAATGGATGCTTTGGCCAGGGGCCAGCTGGCCCCAAATTGTCACTAGAGTGTGGGAGGGATGGAGACGTCTTCCTCGATCACATGGCTTTCTGCGTGTCAAGAGGGCAAACTCTTTCTCTCCTCATTTCCCCATTATACCATCATCAAGACTTTCATTCATTCTTTTCTATGATGTGTGCCACCTGATGTACCTTTCTAAAAGGCAACCCTCCTTCAACTCCTTTGCTATCTGGTCCTTATCTGGCCCCTTTCTTTTATGTTCCCCTTTCTTTATTTGTTCTTGTTCTTTTCGTGCAACTATTATAAATTAGGTTATTGTGTGAGAGATTCTTTAAGGGTTGCAAAGCAAGAGAACCAAGTCAGGGCTTGATTTGCAAACACAAGTGTACTGGTCATCTGACATCCCAAGCAGGACCAGCTGATCATATAGTCAGCAGCAGGATGTTCCTCTCTAGTTAATCTCCTCCTCATATCGGTAGCCCACTGACTCATCTTTCACCCCTTTTCTCACAATGCTAATGTAAAATCTACCTTTCCCTGGACATGTGACAATGACCTATACAAACTAAAAATATATAGATGGAGATGTGGTTGAAGAGACGAACTCCTTTTGAGGCAGATGGAGGCATTAGAACAGTACATCTTTATGTTTATGCTAACGTGCTGAAGTGCAAACCAGCAAATGTAGGCTACCATGCTGCATGTAAAGCATGTATCTGTGACTGAACACACAAGGTGAATAATATGAGTGGAAAATCTGAATGAAATGTATAGGGGGTGTGTCTTCATTGGACGTTTTTGATTATTATTGATGAGACAGACTGTGTGTTTTTATATTTATGTGTTGACTCACATGTGCTTATAGATGTAAGCCATAGAACAACCCTTTTGACTGAACGCTGTTTTAATTGTAAGGATGTTTGTAGATGTTGGTACATAATGTACGAGTGTAATGTAATTGCACATAGTAATGTTAGTATTATTTAATGGCAGTAACAATTTAATATCCAAGGTTACAGTTCCAAACTATAGAAGTGGCTCTGAGTAAAGATGCAAATTTTAAATAAAAGGTTTCTAAAACCTTTCGACCTGTCCAACCCAACTTACATCTCGCCATTCCCCTCTGCTCTTATGCTGTTTTGACCCCTACCTCCTCTTTTAGTGTTGTCCTGCTTAAAATACACATATATATCTTTTCTCGGCATCTTTATTTCTGTAATCTACAGAGAGGGTATCCTATGTTATACAAGCCTATAGTGAAGCAGCATGAGTTGCAACATGGGTTTTGTTGATCCCTGTTGTCGCAGTCCAGGAGAAATAATAAAGTCAGACATTCCATGGAAAGTCCCCCCCCCACCTTCTTATTGACTGAAGTAGAGATTACAGCTTCTTATTTCTGTCCGAGAAGCATGTGGGGCCTGCCACAGTCACTTACGCCTGATGAGGTCCTGTCCGCCATAAACTCGTGCTTACTTTGGAAAACAGGAAGTCCTGATCCTTACACCAGAAACAGGGTGCCTTCTTCTGAAATTAGACATGTATCTAGTATATCTATTGTCTAAGAAACACAACATGCAGGGGTTATTATAAAGTCACCATAAACTTGTAGCCTATATTTAACGTCGTGTTTAAGAAAGATTGGAGTTAAATTAAATGTTTGGCTTTTGCCACTGACGAACTGCAATATGTATCGTCATTCTTGCAAAAAACCCTCTACCCCATATTGAGTCGGTTTCAGCCTTGTTTGCCCATGACTTATGGAAAGAGTGAGCTTGTAATTAAAAGTATGAGCCAGAAGAGAAGGATGCCAAGCAGAGGCAGAAGGACTGATTATTTTTTCCATGAAGAACGAAAGCATGTGAATAACGGTATGTCCAATGTTCTGGCAGCATATTTTGCTGTTTACTTCTATAAATGTTTCTCATCCTTCTCTCATCAGGCAGAATCAGTTGTCTCCGTAGACAAAACAGGTTAAATCAGATCCGTTCTGTTTCCAATCAATCCCTGTTTTCTTCAAATCTGTACATGTAGGCTCTGAAATATTCTTAGTCGTGTAATATTTCATCATCACTTATATTCCAATGAGTGTTAGAGAATACTAAATGCACAAGTGGCTCTTACACACAAATGAAGAATGATAGGATTTTCTAACTCTAGGGAAGTAATTAATTTCTCAACTGCTTTCTGCTATTTCCACATTTGCAATAATCAGGTGACCGGTCACAAATACAGTGAAATATAGAACTGTTAATCGTCATCGGTTACGTTTCCTCGGCCTTGAATGACATAAATGTGTTGCACCAATCAGCTCAAACAGCTTTGACTGAAGTAACAATATGTTTTATTTGTTTATATTTTGTAAAAAATAGTTTTGATGAACAGCAGCTTACAATATGTCACAGAGGACCCAAGTTTTAGGCATTAAAGCTCGATAGAAGCCACCATAGCAGTGATTACCTCACTCTGAGCATGGATTTGGGAAATGCCTCTTATTTCACCTGAATGAAGAGCAAACGTTCTCCAGTTATTTTATAGATTTTCAAAGGTTGTTTTGGTGTCTCCAAGAACTCTTGGAGAATATTGTTTTCTGAAGACTGAAGCTGTCTGATTAAAACAGGTATTTAAACAGGTTCTCAGCAAGGATGTCTATACGATATGTCATTGTTCCTGATATCTA